TTTCTTTCTTTCTTTCTTTCTTTCTTTCTTTCTTTCTTTCTTTCTTTCTTTCTTTCTTTCTTTCTTTCTTTCTTTTTTTTCGGCTGAGGCTTTTTCGTTCAAGACAGACCGAGAATGAAATGATAGGAGCAGAAATCCCATTTCACTGATACAGTTTCCTTGTTGCCTTTCTGGGAGGAGGAGGAGGCTCCACGGTATCCGAAGCAGGACAGACAGACAGACAGACAGACAGACACATCTATATGCATGGTGCAGGTATATATTTATGCAAAGAAACGGAGGCACAAGCTAGTTTTAGCCTGTGGCCATCTTTGCATTCACCTGTGAACCACAGATCCAGTTTGTCTGAAATACAATTCTAGACCAGCACGCCTATTTTTCCCAACAGAGATATCAATTTGGAACAAGGCCTTCTATAATCTTTTAACCCTTCCATTGAGGACCTGTATACTGCACAAGTCAAAAAGAGGGCTGTGAAAATATCTGCAGACCCCTCACATCCTGGACATAAACTGTTTCAACTCCTACCCTCAAAATGATGCTATAGTGCCCTGCACACCCGAACAACTAGACACAAGAATAGGGTTTTTTTTCTGAACGCCATCACTCTGCTAAACAAATAATTCCCTCAATACTGTCAAACTATTTACTAAGTCTGCATTACTATTACTATTACTATTAATCCTCCCATCCTTCCTTTCATCCATCCCCTCCCACTTATGACTGTATGACTGTAATTTTGTTGCTTGTATTCTATCTATTTTTATTGACTGTATGACTGTAACTTTGTTGCTTGTATGCTTATTGTACCCTGTGACTATCATTAAGTGTTGTACCTTATTATTCTTGACGCTTGACGACTGTATCTTTTTTTTATGTACACTAAGAGCATTTACACCAAGACTAATTCCTTGTGTGTCCAATTACACTTGGCCAATAAAGAATTCTAGTCTAGTCTATTCTACTCTGTTCTGTTCTGTTCTATTCTATTCTATTAAGGTTCCTCCTCCTTGCTAAAAAATGTCACTTTGATCATGCTGTCAAAAAGTGTTTTGTGCTTCTCATAAATATGAGAAGTCCTTGTCAGCATTACCATTGAGGTGAGCCTAATTCTCACCAAGGTGCTAAACAATGTATCTCAGCCATCATGCTTGGAGAACTTGCAGATGCTCTACTTCTAGAGTCAATAAAGAAAGAACATTTTCAAACCAAGTTTATTTATCATAAAAGATCACCCCGATAAAGAAAACATTAAAAAAAAACAGATACAGGTAAATGATTAATATTTTTTAAAACTTAAATCTTCCTTACACAAGAAAAATAAGCAGGCGCACACAGACATCTCCAAAAACTTTTTGTTTCCTGACAATCAGTATTCATCAGAAATAAGAAAAGAGGTCATCCTATAATATTCCCCTTAAATTTCCAGGTATTTATGCAGGTACAAATCTAGAAATGATTACTTAGATTTAAAATGAAGTCCAAACATGAATGAGTTTACACAGTTACAGTTGTCCACTGTGCTAAGCCATAAATGATGGTATAGAATAGAATAGAATAGAATAGAATAGAATAGAATAGAATAGAATAGAATAGAATTAGAAATAGAATAGAAATAGAATGTAGAAGGAATAGAATAGAATAGAATAGAATAGAATAGAATAGAATAGAATAGAATAGAATAGAATAGAATAGAATAGAATTCTTTATTGGCAAGCGTGATTGGACACACAAGGAATTTGTTTTGGTGCAAATGCTCTCAGTGTTCATAAAAATTAAAAATACATTTATCAAGAATCGTAAGTATAACACTTAATAATAGTCAAAGGGTACAAATAAGCAAATCATACTAGGAAACATAATAGCAATCAAATCAAATCAAATTATACTAGTAAACAGTCAATTTAAAAAATCATAAGGATACAAGCAACAAAGTTACATTCATGCCTTCATAAGTGGGAGGAAATGGGTAAAAGGAAGGATGAGAAGGAAGGATAAGAATAGTAATAGTAATAGCAATACAGACTTAGTAAATAGTTTGACAGTGTTAAGGGAATTATTTGTTTAGCAGAGTGATGGCGTTCGGGGAAAAACTATTCTTGTGTCTAGTTGTTCTGATGCGCAGTTCTCTATAGCATCGTTTTGAGGGCAGAAGTTGAAACAGTTTATCTCCAGGATGTGAGAGGTCCGTAAATATTTTCACAGCCCCCTTTTTACTTGAGAATTATACAGGTTGTCGATTGAAGGCAGGTAGGTAGCGATTGTTTTTTCTGCAATTCCAGAAACCATAATGGGTAGATTCACACGGCATAACAAATCTCAAGATGGCTTCGGATGGTGTGTGTGTGTTCAGATCATCTTCTCATAATGGGAAAAGACTTTAAGGAGGTGCTCTGTCCATAAGCCCCCCCAAAAACAATTATCTCTCCAGCTTCTCCTGGAACACCACTGGCCTGTCCTCCCAAACTGTTCCTACTTTGTATCCTAAAGTTCCTCCCAGCAGAGTAAACATCATCTGCTTCATGTGGAAATGAATGAATATTGCCAAAATCTTTCCTGGATGGATGGATGGATGGATGGATGGACGGATGGATCAATCTGTGAAATGCATCTGATAACGTTGGACTGAAAATAGTTCAAACCTTTGCCGAGTCTCCTTTTTTGGCTGACTTTAGGAAAGTTTAGATATCCTTTATGTGGTGTATAGCTTGCATTTGGAATTTTCAAGGGTAACGTCCTTTATCTAATTATTTTGGCATAGAAAAAGGTTGGAAAATATGGCAACGGTGGATACAGACTCTTCCACTCACTAGAAAGTTAAGGCAGAGGGTGGAGGTGAGCCAATTGCCAGCAACTCTGCATAGGTGTGGAGGGAGAAAAACCTCATGGAGTCAAAAACAATGCCCATTTGCAGTTTATCTGAAATTGGTTTACAGTGGGAAATTGCAGACACAAATCAAGCGAATTTAGTCAGTCTACCTTGTTTCCTGACCATAAACATTTAGTAAATTCTTGTTTGGAGAAAAGTCATTTCTCTTTGTAGATCCTTCAGAAGAGATCTGTTTGAGATAAAATGGCCAAGTGGGGGCTGTTTATGTGTGTGTTTGTGTGTGTTTGTGTGAGGGAGGGAGGGAGGGAGGTTTGGTCTCTTTTATTCTATTTGTGATTGAATTTAGGGACTCTGAACCTAAGCATCAAATAAATAAGGTACTTAGGCAAAGAAGAAATTAACGTCACTTTCATTCCAGACTCTTCCTGATTTTTTTTCCCCATAAGCCACTTCCATATTAACTTTGTCTGGACTGACAAATATCAAAATAAGCACATCTTCTGTCTAAATATCTGCTCACATGATTACTTGATTTTCATGAGCATGCTTGCACGTACAAGACCATGACCATTCTTCCCCATAAAAACATTTCATAAAACCAAATTTTTATGGGCTAAGGCTGTGAGTCTTATCACTTTAACCAGAGTCACCGAGGCATCCTCATTCATCTTTACCTGTTATTTGGTAAGACTTGATGCTTAAAGTTGGAGAACTAGCATCTAGATTTGACCATATTAACTTTTATTTAGATTCATTGGTGTAAACCAAACTCGGCAGATTCCAGCCTTGCGGGATTGAATTGCCTTTTAAGACAACTCCAATATCCTTCAGTCAGGGCCTGATTCAAACGTTAGAGCTGATAATTCTGAATTCAGGAAAGTACTTAGTATCTCCATTCATTTAATGGACTACTTTAAATGAATGGAGATCACAGCCTGCTTCCTCTTAGCAATATAATTTATGGTATTAGGAAGCTACTACTGTTATTACAACAAAATCAGGAGACAGAAATTCTTCCATATCTATCACGGGTTGTTAAGAGATCTGCCATAAAATTATACCTATTCTCTGTTTGTGTCTAATATATAGCTTTGACGGATGCTGTTTTTGTTAGCCTATATAAAGTGAATCAAAGGCTAAGTTTACACATGTATGTTTATTGTTCAGGAGCTGCAACTTCATCTGATGACATGCCAGTGAGAAATAGCAGACTAAGATCAAATACTTTGGGAGAAA